GCCGTCAGGAACTTTTTCATCATTCACTCTAACTCTCTGTCTTTCCCTGCCCCTACACCTCTCTGTTTTAAAATTGAGATATAATTCACATACCATCAGATTCACCAATTAAAAGTATACAATTCAGTGGTTTTCAATATATTCACAAGGACATGCAATCATCACGACTATCTAATTGCAAAACATTTTCATCACCCCAAAACAAAACCCCATACCCATTAATAGTCACTCCCCATTAATTCTCCCCCCCCAGTTTTTGGCAACCACTAATCTACTTTCTGTCTGTATGAATTTGTTTATTCTGGACTTTTCATATAAATGGAATCATACCAATAAGAACTCCTCATCTCTTGCTCAGACTACTGCAACTGCCTCCAAATCCATCTACTTACTTCCATATCTGCCTTATAATTCATCTTCTACATGTTACATGACTGACAAATCAGCCTTTCAAAACACATTTCTGATAATGTCATTCTGCTGTGTAAAATCCTAGACTAGCTCACTATTACTTATGGTTAAAGCAAAAATTCCATAGAACAGCACGGAGAAAAGAAAAGAAAGAAGAGAGGCAAAAACAGAAATAAGGCTCTTAACAGACAGGTCCTTACCTTATTTCCCAATACAGTAGTCCCCATTTATGCAAGTTTCAGTTACCCACAGTCAGCCGAGGTCCAAAAATATTAAATGGAAAATTCCAGAAAGAATTTATAAGTTCTAAATTTCTCACCATTCCTAGTGGCATGATAAAATCTCACAGAGCATGAATCATCCCTTTGTCCAGTGTATCCACACTGTCTTTGCTACCCACCTGTTAGTGACTTAGTAACTGTCTCAGTTATCAGATCCCAGTGCTTGTGTTCGAATAACATTTATTGCATTTAATAATGGCCCCAAAGAGCAAGAGTGATGCTGACAATTCGGATATGACAGAGAGAAGCTATAAAGTGCTTCCTTTAAGTGAAAAGGTAAAAGTTCTCGACTTCATAGAGAAAGAATAAAAATCATCTGCTGAGGTTGCTAAGATCTACAGTAAGAACAAATCTTCAATCTTGTGAAGAAGGAAAGAGAAATTTATACTAGTTTTGCTGTCGCACCTCAAACCGCAAAAGTTACAGACACAGTGTGTGATTAGTGCTTAATTAAGACAGAAAAGGCATTACATGTGTGGGTAGAAGACATGAATAAAAATGTATCCCGATTGATAGCAATCAGTTTCGGTACTATCCGAGGTTTCGGGCATTTGCTAGGGGGCTTGGAATGTGTCCTCCAAGGATAAGGAGGGACTACTCGACTTGCTCCCCGAGTACTAGGTACGCCCTGTATCTCACTGTTCCTGGACTCTACTGTGTTCTGTTAAGCCTCTCTTCACAAACTGTTTGTCTGGCAGGAGGTGCTCTCCCTTCTGTTATTCAGCTAAAATATCACATCTCTATCAAGATTTCCCCCATTCCTTCTTTCATAGAGTAATACTCTATACCCATGCCTCTATCGTGGCTTTATTATATTGTGTTAAAATTGCATGTCTGTCACCCCACAACTTTCATGCCTCAATGTCTACTAAATAAACTAATGAATTTCAAGCCTTGTGCCACAGTATCAAGGAAATGAGATAAAGAAATAGTCTGCTATACCACATGAAACTTAAAAATCTTCTCTCTGGTTTCTGCCTTTTAGTGGTTTCCTCTGTTCTTGGCCACATCCTGACTCTGATTCAGATTATCCCCTGTGATAACTACAGTAGTTGCTTCTTCACATGTTGTTATATTTGTGCCCAAGTTGCATGATAAGAGACTTGGCCAATGTTTAAAAGGATCTACTACATGTAAATAATTATATTAGGTGCCGAAAATACAGAGTAAGATAAGACATCTCTGCCCTAAATAAGGCTACCTACAATCCAAGTTTAAGGAGACAGAAATACACGGGAAGGAAACATTCAGGAGGGAGAAATTAGTTTTGCCTGGCAAGGTCATGGTAGGCTTCTAAAGCAGAGACAGGTAAGTAGTTAACTCCTATTCAACTACCCCAATTTTGGCAATTTCCCAGTCTGGCCTTTCAAGAGCAAAAACTCTGCAAAGTAAATTGTAATCTACCAACCTCAAGCTATAATCACTGGTATATTCAGAGCAATTAGTCTTCTCACATGAATTTTACATGTGAGATAGATCTTTTAAAAAACCTATGCTCTTCTTCAAGTTATCTGCCTTCTCTACCCCTCTCTTAGTAGACACTACTTTCTTACTAGAGTTTGTATTTTTATACAAAAAGACCCCAAGGCTTTTATGCTTCAGTAGATAGCAAATACTTTTTTAAATAACAAAGTATCAAAAGTTTCAAACCTTTTTAATTTAAGAAAGGCAAAGCAATGTGTAAGAATTTTCATTTCCATGTACAGTAGCTTTGTACTTGAAGCATCGCTTAGAAATTTAACTTAAGAATGCCAATTTCATGGTTCTAGGATCTGTCTGTGGCCAATTCTGCATAATCTATACTAAAATGAGACTTCTCTCACAAAACCTAAATTATACATAATTAAAATCTATTCTTTAACAAGACTTCTTTCACAACAAAAGGGAAGGGAAGAGAAAGAACACAGGCTTCAGAGACATACAAACACCCTTCCCTTTGTTACTTAGCCAACTCAGATGTTAACTCCCTTGGAGATGGTGTTGAAGAAAGGCCACTAAACCACAAGATTTAAAAGAGGTAAACAGGGCCGGACATGGTGGCTCACGCCTATAAACCTAGCATTCTGGGAGGATGAGGCAGAAGGATTGCTTGAGCTCAGGAGTTAGAGACCAGCCTGAGCAAGAGTGAAACCCCATCTCTACTACAAATAGAAAAATTAGCTGGGTGTCATGGCATGTGCCTGTAGTCCCAGCTACTTGGGAGGCTGAGGCAGGAGCATTGCAGGGCAACAAAATGAGACTCTGTCTCAATCAATCAATCAATCAATCAATCAAAGAGGTAAACAGGATTTAAAATTACTTTTATCTGGTTCTCTTTTTTTCCAGCATATTATGGGGGTACAAATATT